TTGTCCAGAAATTGTACATTTATTAGACCACAATTCTTTCCAATTTTTCTCCAGTCTAGCATCGAAGAATTGCCAATTCCTGCTTTTTTTCGGAAAGAACACGTGATATTTGAGTGATGAAGATCATTCATCTATTTAAAATGACGAAGAGTGGGTCGTGATCATTTTTATTGTCTTCCTTCGAAAATTTTCTTGACAAATTTTATTAAATTTGACTCTTAGCTTTTGCCCAAATGTATGCATTTGACCAAGTATCTGTTAATTTGTCCGTTAAACAGCCAGAAATCTTCTGAACATTTTCGGAATCTCAAACATCCGAAAATAGACTTGACAGGCGAGGGTTCATGTCAGTATGTAATTTATGGAATATACTTATATGTACAGGTAATTGGACGTCTTTAAACTCGATATCCAATTTGGCTATGTTCGATTAGAATACTGTTTTTCTTTTTAAGCTACCGAACAATATTTTCTTTAATATATATACATATTTCTCAATGTTGATATGACTGACACAATCCATATCATGTCATTCATCACCTCTATTGGCATTGTATAAACAAAGGGATTATCAGCATGCACCGAATAAACAGAGCAGCTAAGGAATATTGTCACAAAAGGGCATATTCATTATTTTTTGGTCAGGAAAAAAGGGTACGCCGTTGGGAAAAAGGGGCATGGCGCCAAGACATGCTAGTTTGTTTTAGATATAACAAGATCAAAAATTACGAGGGGCGTTCACTAAATAATGTCATTAGCTCGATGACATACAACATAGTAGTCATATGACATAAAGCTTGACTTTCTCTCATTATTGAATCTTTAATGAATTTATAACAGTTTATGTGACCACTTTTCATCACATAGTTTTATCGTGAGAAGCTGGGAAACAAGGGCTATTCGAGACACTGCATTATAAATGAATGGTAAAGAATCAGTAAACTAGAGTGAAAATAAAAGCTACTTTAAAGCTGCTGTAAAACTTGTTAAAAATCCCAAAGAAATATTCACTGAAATATGTGACATTTACAGCAACCGATGCCTGTTTTATAGACAAATTAGCAGGTGGATTTCAAAGATAAAAAATTATATAATGGGCATCAAAAATGGGTACACTCCTTGCCAACAAAAATTATAACAACTTATGTACTGTTTGCCAAATATCAACAAATAATATTTGATGTTGTATGATTGACTTTAAGACACATAGCAAATTTGATAGACATCATATCGGGAGTAGTTTACACTGTTTTTAAGAAACGTTTGACAGTAATTAAGCTTGGTACTCTAAGGTCACCCTGTATTTTGAAAAATGAGTGAAAACGACAGCGTGTACAAAAGTCTTAACAATTATTTTAAAATATCAGAAATTGTAGTAATCCACGTTTGTTTTATATTCAAACAGATATTGAAACATGAATCTATTACTTAAAACCATTAAAACAAAATTTACCATAAGATGTACTTAATAAAAACGGCGAAGGTCTGTCAAGAGCAAAGGTATGCAAGAGCACAAAAACAGATTTATATGCAATTTTCTTAAATATTAGTGGTATTATTGTTCAAATTCGTATTCGGGGAGACAGTTTAATATCTGGAGGTGTCTAGAAAGCAGTTTCTTTGCAAAGAAATCGAAAGGTTTATCAGAGAAAGGACCCAGAATCAGGAATCCACTACATTGAATTTCTTCACGACAGCGTTTAAACCCGCATGCCCTAAAGAGTAAAGGGGTTTACGGGATAAACAGAAAGTTAATATTTTTTCACATTAAGAATATTTGCCAGATCTTTGACCTTTTGACTTGTTTCTATTTCCAAACGTGAAAAAAACACCTTTCAGAAGGAAAAAAACAAGTCCAGGAAATCATTGGATCTGCCATTTTCCAGTATACTAACGGTCATACCAAAAAATGAGTTCTAAAAACAATCAGAAATTGGATAACAAATGTTACGGACATGTGTTTGAATTAAAATAGATTAATAAGTAAAATCATGAAGACTAAATCATTGAAAAGCGTCGTTTGCTTCTTTCTGAGCTCCAATGACATTATTTATTGAACGCCCCTCGTAGATTGAATGACTCATTCATTTACTTACCCAACACCGCAATAACATAAAAATATGATAAAAAAGATAAATCCAGGCTCATGTCTTTCACTAATTACCTATTTTCAGTTGTTGTTGAGTACATGTATATGACTAATTTACAATTAAAAATTGTTTTAAAGACGATCAAAGCGCTATTAATGTTATTCTCAATAATGAGCCAAACAAATGGAGAACCATTTCATTTAAGTAAACAGACTTTCGATGAATCGTCTTTGCCTACTCCAAGGTTCAAAATTTTTGTTATAAAAAATTGTTGTAGACATCTTGATGCAAAGAAATGGTCTTTTGTGGTTAGCTGGGGATAAATACACAAAGCTGTACGGAAGATTCGTTTCTTCTAGACGCAGAGCCAAATGAAAACATTAGACGCAGAGCTAGAGGGAAGAGCATAAGACGCAGAGCTAGATGGAAGAGCATAAGACGCAGAATTTGAAGGACGAGACGTAAGGGCAGATAGGCCAATCTGCACAGCAGATTGAGATGAAATAGCGGAAATCACGGGTGAGTCCAATACGTTTGATTTTGTACGTTTGATTTTATGATTTATGTTTTCGTCTGCCTGTTGATGTGCCTGCAACACTTTGATTTCAGTACTTGTTTCTAAGCGCTAGCAGATACTGAGCTGATTTTTGGCAAGTAAAAGTACCTTAAAGAGTTACATATATCCACTGCAATGTTTCCGCTTTGGAGATTTTAGACTGAGGAACAAAATGTCTGGATTAGGTTCTTGGATATAATTCCTTGTTCTTGAGTTAGATTAGTCGCGGTAGTGATTTGAGCACTCAACCTTTAAGTAGTGGTCGTGATTTGATCGGAAGGTCGTATGTTCGAATCACAGTCACGACTGAACCTGAGCCTGAGACCCTGTACTGAGAACAGAATTAAGTCAAAACTTCAAATAAATATCATATGTTTAATTTGGAATATTTTACAACCTACAAATCCTTGGTAACGAATGTGTTATACATGTAATTGACAAGCTATTCAAAATTTTGACGTAAGTCTGTTCTAAGATTATGGTCTCCAGGCCTGGTCGATAAAAGTCCCTTCGCCAAGCGCTCGGAACGTTTAATTGAAAGTTGTGGGTCTTTCTGATGAGACCTTAAAAACCGAGGCCTTGTTTCGCGGTAGGTGGTAGCAAAATGAAACAAGGGGCCACATCGCTCACCTGAGCAACTGGCTAGGTAAAAGCAAAAATCAATTCAGTATTGACAAGTTTAAATATAAAAGTGGTTTCAGGGGAGGTAAGGGGATATTTGAACCAACTTAAATAATTATATACTTCATAGTATATACAAATAGTTATAAATTAATATGATACATAATGGTCTAAATATGACCAACTATAGCTTTACTATTCTTGAGAAGAATTTTCAAAGATTTTCCCCCTGTATTACTATGATAAACTTAGATCCCCCATTGTGGCCCCATCCTACCCCCGGGGGTCATGATTTGAACTAACTTGAATCTACACTACCTGAGGATGCTTTGGAATAACTATGATCAATCATGGCTTTGCTGTTCTTGAGGAGAATTTTCTTATGTATTCCAATGTTGATCCCCGATCCCCCGCGGGGGGGGGGGGGGGTCATGATTTGAACAAACTTGAATCTACACTACCTGAGGATGCTTTAGTATATCTATGACCATTCATGGTATTGCTGTTCTTGAGAAGATTTTAAAGCTTTTTCCGATGTACTCCTATTTTAAACTTTGATACGCCACAGTAGCCCCACCCTACCCCCGGGGGTTATGTTTTAAACAACTTGAACCTACCCTACCTGAGGATGCTTCCACATGAGTTTCATCTTTCCTGGCCCATTGGTTCTTGAGAAAAAGATTTTTAAATATTTTTCCTGTATGTTCCTAAATTAAATTTGATCCCCCATTGTGGCCCAAGCCTACCCCTGGGGGTAATGACTTGACTTGAATCTAAACTACCTGAGGATGCTTCCAAAGGAGTTTCTTTATCCCTGGCCCAGTGGTTCTTTAGATGATTTTTAAAAGATTTTTTCACTTATCCTTAAGTATCTCCCCTTAGAAGAGGGCATGACCCTTCTTTGAACAAACAAAGTTTGGTTTAAATTGGCCCAGTGGTTCTAGAGAATATGAAAATGTGAAAAGTTTACGACGACAACGACAAAGATAGACAACGGAAAAATTTTGATCAGAAAAGCTCACTTGAGTCTTCGGCTCGGGTGAGATAAAAAAAACCTCATTGCTCAATGGCCCTGAGTGCCGAGTCAAGTTTTAAATTTGAAGCCCTTCACCTGTGACGTCTCTTCATTAGTGGAAAAAGCTCGAACGTGGCTTGAAACAATCGATCTTTCTCAAAAAAGAGTAATAAAAAAAACCCAATAAAACTGCAGTGGTCAATAAAAAAAAATCCAAGAAAATAAGCTAAAAATGTGACAGGAAAGGATATTACTTTTATTATACAATTAATGTATGCGTTTTTGTGGTTATAAGAATTTACACGAAAGCAGGTGACAGAAAAGATTACTTTTATTATAATGTATGCATCTCTGGTTATAAGAAATCAACATACAAGTATGTAAAGTTATACTAAGTAAACATAAAACAGATGATGATCGTGACAAAAAATATTAAAGAAAAGTGTAGGTGTGTTTTATGGACGTCTCGTCGTCTTTTAACATAAAAATAAAATTGCATTGACACTTAGAGTGTTGATTATTATTTATGATACAGCTAAACATTTTGTAATTAATATTTCCTCTGAATTCTGAATATACGAAAATTAATGTCATCAAACATGGTTTTTCATCTCTTGTATTTAAATGACGTTCTAGTAAGAGAAATAAGTATTTAAGAGAAATAAATAACGAGCTCTACAGAAGAAGAAAGAATAGAACTACTTAAAACACACATTACCTTGAGACGCAGGAGAAGATGTTGGTGTTGTCTTTGTGGTAGTTGATTCTAAGACTGTTGTTGGTGAAGTGTTCGCTGCTGTAGCTCTCTGGGATGTTGTTAATACACTGGTTGTTGTAGCAGTAGCGGATACTAATGGTGACTGAGTGGAACTTGCCGTTGTTGTTGATTCAGTGACCACTGTTGTTGTGGTCACGATGTTTCCTGAGGTCGAATCTGATGTAAATGATTGATTAATAATGTTTTACGCCGAATACAAATAGCAGTTATGAACAAAAAATGATGAAGTTACTGTATCCAGCATCAACTTTCTTAATGAAGCGTCATAATTAAAATTCCTTAAACAGGCCGAGTCTAATTCAAGTGCGCATGACTTTGCGCAGCTTTTCATTTTCATGCAGCCATAAGTGCGGCAGTACACCTTTCCAAAATATTGTGATTTTATTTTAATATAAAATTAACATTATCTGTGTAAACATTATTAATGTAAACTCGTCATGTATAGAACAGTTTATACCAGCATAAAATAGAGTTGACACACTTTACTGTGAGTTAATTCAAATTTTAAATCATATCCTTGCATCAATTTTGGTTTGTGTGATTTTCTTTTCGTGTCTTAATTCGAACTCTGATGGGTACTTTTGTACAGATTCTGACAGGGATATACACTGATACAGTGTACAAGTAAACACTGCACATGTTTTACTTTATATATAAATACAACTTTTAAAACTTGAATTATTCTCCTAATTAATCATTATTGGTATGTTTTTCTTTTATCCATATCAGGCTCATCAGCAATAATATTAAGAGGAAGTTTTGGAGAGCGAAAAATATATTGACGCTTTACATAACATTTTATGCATTGAGCCTAAAAACGTCAAAACGCCAAATTTTTACGTCTGTGACATTTATGTTGACATTTAATTTTTGTTAGGTTTTTTTCACCATTCTATTGAAATTATTTTAGAATATACCAATAACTATTTGAAAAGATGCACATTTCATAAAAATCCTTTAATTTTTAATATGTCTATTTTCAATTACTACACATGATCAATGTTACCACATTTATACAATTAAAGTAAGATTTATTACTTTTGGACAATGTGTGACATTTATTTTGACATTGTAAAAAGCCTCTAAAACAAACACTTCTTTATAGAATCAATTCATTTTCATATCTAAATAAAGTTTTGATTTTGCACATTTTGTATTAAACGTTGTTTGGTGCCAAATTAGAAAAATGAATTCTTAAAATGTAGGTCATTGCTGGAGTGTAGCATTTAAACGTGACGTTTTTGCCGTCAAATTCAACTGTGACGTATAGCTACATGTAGTACATACATGTTAACTCGACAATTATTATTAAAATTTAAGGCACCGCAAGTTAAAATTCTGTCTAGAGATATTTTCCTTAATAACATGGCAACATTTTGTAGAATTTATAATAATTTTCAACATCAATTTTTAGGTCACCTGAGTAAACTCAGGTGACCTATTGCTATCCGTTTTCGTCTGTCGTCGTGCGTCGTCCGTCGTCCATCGTGTGTTAACATTTGAACATTTTCAGCTTCTTCTCTGCAACCACTGCACCAATTTCAACCAAATTTGGCACAAAGCATCTATGGCTAAAGGGGAACAAAAATTGTGAATTTCATGATCCCTGCCCCCCTGGGGCCTGAGGGGTGGGGCCAAAACCACTAAAATTAATGCAATCTTTAAAAATCTTCTTCTTTACTCCTGGACATCAAGCAGTCAAACTGTTTGCATGATTGTAATCAGCAATGAGTCCTCTACCAAAATTGTGAAATTCATGGCCCTGGGGTCAGGGGTTCTAGTGCTAGGGCGGGGCTAAATAAGTATATAGTGAAAATGCATTATTTCTTTGAAAATCTTCTTCTCTGCTCCTGGGTATTAAATAAACCAACTAAGTACATAGTTATGATGAGCAAGAGTGCCTCTACCAAAATTGTGAAATTTATGGCCCCAGGGTCAGGGGTTCTGGTGTTAGGGTGGGGCTCTATTGATTATATATAGTGAAAATACATGAATTCTTTGAAAATCTTCTTCTCTGCTCCTGGGTATTAAATAAACTAACCAAGTACATAGTTATGATGAGCAAGAGTGTCTCAGCCAAAATTGTGAATTTTATGGCCCCAGGGTCAAGGATTCTGGTGTTGGGGGGGGGGGCTCTATTGATTATAAAGTGAAAATACATGAATTCTTTGAAAATCTTCTTCTCAGCTCCTAGGTATTAAATAAACTAACTAAGTGCATAGTTATGATGAGCAAGAGTGCCTCAACAAAAATTGTGAATTTTATGGTCCCAGGGTCAGGGGTTCTGGTGTTAGGGCGGGGCTCTATAGATTACATAGTAAAAATACATGAATTCTTTGAAAATCTTCTCTGCTCCTAGGTATTAAATAAACTAACTAAGTGTATAGTTATGTTGAGCAAGAGTGCTTTTACCAAAATTGTGATTTTTATGGCCCCCGGGTCAAGGGTTCTTGTGTGTGTGTGTGGGGGGGGGCTCTATTGATTATATAGTGAAAATACATTAATTCTTTGAAAATCTTCTTCTCTGCTCCTAGGTATTAAATAAACTAACTAAGTGCATAGTTATGATGAGCAAGAGTGCCTCAACCAAAATTGTGAATTTTATGGCCCCAGGGTCAAGGGTTCTGGTGTTGAGGGGGGGGCTCTATTGATTATATAGTGAAAATTCATGAACTCTTTGAAAACCTTCTTCTCTGCTCCTAGGTTTTAAATAAACTAACTAAGTGCATAGTTATGATGAGCAAGAGTGCCTCAACCAAAATTGTAAATTTTATGGTCCCAGGGTCAGGGGTTCTGGTGTTGAGGAGGGGGGGGGGGCTCTATAGATTATATAGTAAAAATACATGAATTCTTTGAAAATCTTCTTCTCTGCTCCTAGGTATTAAATAAACTAACTAAGTGTATAGTTATGATGAGCAAGAGTGCTTTTACCTAAATTGTGAATTTTATGGTCCCAGGGTCAGGGGTTCTGGTGTTAAGGCAGGGCTAGTTTGATTATATATTGAAAATACGTGAATTCTTTGAAAATCTTCTCTGCTCCTAGGAATTAAATAAACTAACTAAGTACATAGTTATGATGAGCAAGAATGCCTCTTCTAAAATTATGAATTTTATGGCCCCAGGGTCTGGGGTTCTGATGTTAGGGCGGGGCTCTATTGATTATATAGTGAAAATACATTAAATCTTTGAAAATTTTCTTCTCTGTCTCTGGGTATGAAGCAGATGAACTACCTATATAGTCATGATGAGCAAGGGCCCTAATCTTGCAGAATTGTGAATTTCAAGGACCCTGGGTCAGGGGTGGGGGAGGGGGGGCTCTACTTATATACTGAAAATGAATTAATTGTTTGAAATCTGCTCCTTTGTATTTATAAAACATTTATTTATTTTTTGATAGGCAATTTTAAGAGTGCCTTTTTAAAATTTGTGCAATGTGTGGACCTAGGGTCAGGGGTTTATATCACAGTGTTAGGGGCACTACTGATTATTGCTGAATATTACTGATTAGTTGGTATGCATTTTTGTTCCCCTACCCTGCGTATGGGTATTTAGTAACCAAGCTAAGCAACTGCTAAGTGTACTGTTATGATGATCAATGGTGCCTCTTTCAAAATTGCGAATGCCATATATCATCTGGCTTAAGTTAAAACATGAATCAAATTCAATAACTGGAAAGTTGTTGCATAATGCTCAGGTGACCTATAAGGCCCGTGGGCCTCTTGTTCATCTAGCATTAAAAAATTTGCCATTTTACGAATCTTAAAAACTTTGCGACATTGAACCTCCAAACTTTGTGACACACCATCTTAGTCAATGTTCCCACAATAAATCGGCTTAATATCAGAAACCCAACATACATATCGACACAAAATATCAGTCTAATTTAAAATATAGTTCCTTGCACACAGAAAGGATCATTGACATGCCATTTCAAATTGATTTTGCTCATTGAATTATTTTTATTTAGTTACCGATGACATTTCATATTCCTTCCATATTTCTTCGGATAATGCTTATCTACATCGCTGCTGTCTTGCATTTTGAACAACGCGTTCAAAGCATTCGGATTAAACAACATCACAATTGTAAAACTTTACATTATTTACATCAAAATTTGAACTTTTCTGCTAAATTTTATGTTTTTATTGTTTGTTTTATGGAAATTATCAACATTTTGATATTGCGTGTGCGACGCTCCTGTTACCGATCTACATGCTTTCTTGACGTAATTGATTGAATAGTCAAATTAATATATTTGATAATTGGAATTTTTTAATCAATATTTTTGTTAAAATGTATTTAGTATACAATTACCGACCGAATGATATATAGTTTTCATATAGAGAATTGTTTTAAAATTATGGAAATAGTGCAAATGCCGCCATAATAGTAATTATTGACTATTTGACACCAACACCGTGCGCGACGTCTCGGCACTTTTAATTGAAAGTCGCGGGTCCTTCGGATGAGACCTTAAAAACTTATGCTTTGTTTCGCGATAGGTAGTAGCACAATAAAACAAAAGGCCAAGGGGCCATATCGCTCACCTGAGCAACTGGCTAATTAAAAGCAAAAATCAATTCAGTATTGACAAGTTTAAATATAAAAGTGGTTTCAGGGGAGGGGAGGGGATACATTTGAACCAACTTAAATAATTATATACTTCATAGTATAAACAAATACTTTTAAATTAATATGATGCATAATGGTCTAAATATGACCAACCATGGCTTTGCTGTTCTTGAGAAGATTTTTTAAATTTTTTCCCCCTGTATTACTATGATAAACTTAGATCCCCCATTGTGGCCCCATCCTACCCCCGGGGGTCATGATTTGAACTAACTTGAATCTACACTACCTGAGGATGCTTTAGTATAACTATGACCATTCATGGTATTGCTGTTCTTGAGAAGATTTTAAAGATTTTTCCCATGTATTCCTATTTTAAACTTTGATACCCCACAGTAGCCCCACCCTACCCCCGGGGGTTATGATTTAAGCAACTTGAACCTACCCTACATGAGGATGCTTCCACATGAGTTTCATCATTCCTGGCCCATAGTTTTTTGAGAAAAAGATTTTTAAA